TATAAGTAAATACTTCTAATAAATGAATCTATTCAGAAAATGGTTACCATACGACATATCGTATTACTCTTGCTACCAATTCGCAATAAACAAACTTTCAACGTAATGATGACTAAATCATTAAAAACTCTTCTCAATTATTGAACGACTATCTTTTCTTGGGGTTCAGTTGTTGGCGAAACAACAGGAACTGGAGGTGGTGCAGCTTGCCCTTGTTGTGAGGCGGGCAAAATGTGGTCTGTTGGTTCTTTCTTTTCAGACGCAGGTGTGGAAAATTTGTGAACAATCTCTTGTGGAACGTTTTCCATTACTGTTTTGTAGAAAGACGAACCTTCAACAAAAGACGTCGGGAATAACTTTTTGAGAGCAACAATGTTAATCTCCACAATCGGCATTAACTCTTTCTCGGCCTTTGCACATTCCACGAGAATGTTCATAGCATACCCTTCAGAAATCTCAAGCTCACTGTCTACCTTTGGAATTTGCGACGATGAACTGATAAGAACGGGCGATTGTAATTTGGAACGTTCTTTGTCAATTAAGATCATCACTATTTCACTAATAACCTTTGCAGTTTGTGGTGTTATTTCCTTTTCAGAAACATAGTTCAGTACTTTGGTGACATCAACACTCTTCCTTTCACATAGATCGAGCCAATTTCTATTGATAGTGTTGCAAGATATCATCACGTCTATACACTCTTCCAAACAAGACTTCCACCCAACTAAATCCGCATTAGCGCCAATGGCAAGAACTAAGTTACTAATCATCGCATTTTTGGATTCCCCATTTTGAAGACCTTTGATAATCATGAGCACTGTGTCGACGCGATCATTGTCGACACTTTTTAAAAGGACACAACACGCGATCGGTACCAAAATTGGCTTTTCTTTCAAAATGTCCATTACTATTTGTTTTTGACTCACTATCCCACAAAAGATTGCAGAAACCAGGGGAGTGACAGTGGTGAGATGTTGGTGTGGTTGTGATGTAAGGAATGGAACCAACAACGCAAGGTTGCCATTCTTTTTCACACCAATTGCATACGCATAAACACGCATCACATATTCAAAAAACGGATATGAGTCGATTGCAAGTGTCACATTCGATATTAAAATGTCAACAACTTCGTCGAGTTTTTCTCGCAAATTAAACACGATGTATTGCACAGTATTCAAAAGTTCGAGTCTGTCTTCCCCAGTTGATTCTTGAACCATCATGATCATGTACTTCATTATCTCTTCTCCACTTTTGTAATCCACAAACACTTCTTGAAATTTAACATGGCTTGTTATTTCTTTGATGCTTTGTTCAATAAGACTATTCTCGTTGTAAAACAAATTGGTGAACCACCAACCCTCCTTCTTCTCTTGCTTCGTTTGAAGAACAGGAAAGTCTTTTGGATCATCGACATGTAAAACCCCAAGTTTATACAACTTGCTCAAGACTCTGACAGTGTCTTCATTGTTGATCAAAAACGGGAATGACGACTTGATAATGTTCAGTAACACTATGACCTCGTCGAGCTTTTTGCGTTCTTCTAAAAATGAAGTATTCTGTAAGACCCCAGACACCGTGGTGAGGGAGTGGACTACTTCTTTGACGACTTCATTGTCGCGTAATATCCTACCAACCTCGACCAAATAAACATAACACTCAGCTGTTTCCTTTTTAAACAAATCCTTTTTGGTTAGAGCGCCCAACAAAAGGGGAGTAAATACCCTGATGAATTTGGGATACACGTCAATCACTCCAAGTTCGTAGGGGCGGCACATACATTCTCGCTCTTTAAAATCGAGGTGAATATGTTGTGTTGGTACTGTTGTTGGTAAACAATTTGGAACAACAATTATATGAGTGTCGACGTATTGATAAATATGAGCAACAACGTCTTTTGGTAAGAAGTTGTCGTTGTTTTTTTGCACGAACTCCTCGAGAGAAATTTCTATTTTTGTTTTTCGTGGGACTGGCGAAAGTGATAATTTTATTACATCAGAAAACAACGTAGCGATGTCGTTAACCTTCTTATCGACAGGGACTTCTTGAGCATTCTGATTTTCGTTGACATGGGAAGACACGTTTTTGACATAGTTTTGCGCTACTTTTAAAAACAGTTTGTCGATGTTTTCGTTCTCTTTTGGCAGTTCAACCGTTTGAACAACACGAATGAAACAATTGAGAACATCCATCTCATAACAATGAAGTTTTTCTAAATAGTTTCCAAAAACTATTTGGTTGAACTCATCGTCATTTAAAAAGTATTCTGTGACCCGTGTTCGGCTGATTTGAGGAATAGTCAAGAAAAGGTCTGCAATTTCATCTGGTGTTGGTGCTTTTCCATCTTTGTCATGGGAGGCTTTCCATTGTGTGAACTCTTTAATACCAGTGAAGTTGTTTTCAGCAAAAGCGTTTGACATTTGTCGATAAAATTTCTTTGTTTCAAGAGCGTCTTGCCAATTGTACGTGGTTTTATTTGAAGACGGCTTCACAGACTTTAGTAATACCAACACGACCGGAAGAAGCATGTTGTATCCTTCTCCATTCAAGTGTTTGAACACAGTCATCATAAAAAATTGGAACAAGTCTGTGCAGTAAGGATCACAATCATAGTTAAAAAACAAGTTGGCCATCATGTTTTCTCTTAAAAAGATGTGTCGTATATTTCTGACAATGAGCTTTGTTGTTTGCACAATCACGTCATGGGAGAATCTCGTTTCCAAATCGCTTGTTGTTGTGAAAATCAATTCAATCATGTAAATCAGCTGGACGATGTAATTCTCAAATTCGACCTTCATCGAAGAATGGTGGAAACAAAATATCTCATCTAAGAAATTAAGTGTGATGGATGTTATTGCACTTTGAATGAAAATCGAAGGAACAACAACAACTGTCAGTAACATTGGAACAATTCGATATTTCAAAGCATCAAATAATTCTGGTGTTTCATAAAACGCTGTGGTGTGATTTGTATATATCTCTTGAAGCGTTTCTATTGTCTTTGCTTTGTTTCCTATGTCTTCTATTGTCAGTTGGTTTAATAAATAGAGTAAAATGTATTTCAATATTGACACCAAATTCTTTGAAAGTGATTTATCAAAAAGGTCTTTAATTGTCAGTTTGTAATTTTCATCAAGCATTTTCTGAATATCCAAATTTCCCGCTGAAAGTGCGACGCTCTGTTTCATCCACTCAAATGCCATGAAAAGAAGTTTCTCGTCTTTTAAAGAAAGTGTGCACTCCCGAACCAACAATATTTTTTCAATTGTAATTTCGGATTGAAAAGACTTTTTGAGAAGACACATGACGACTGAAGAAACCAAAACGTCACCTTGTGTATTGTTTTGAAGACATGGAATGATCTTTGTTAATGCAGTACAAGCTTCGTTCACAATGTCCAATTTTTCTGTTGGGTTTTGAAGGATCACAATAAACGTTGTGAGGACTTCTGCGATTTCTGTTTCGCTCATTTGGTTTGAACTGAAAATATTTTCAATGATAGACAAAGAACCTTGGATGTGGTTATTAGTTGCAAGAGTGTTATCCTTCTCAATTGACGTTGCGATGTGAGCGAGGTGTAGATAGCTGATCATTATCACTTTTTCGACAGTTAGAGACGAATCCATTACTATTGATTTGTTTGTTCTTTTTTGTTTTTTGTTGAAAAAAAGGAGATTATGTTTTGGTTTGAAGGAGTTTGACATCTTTTTATGGTAAATAATAGACAGTTTTGTCTCTTATCAAGTTCTTTTTTGTGTCAATCGCTTTTATCTCAGGTATTGAGTCTTTTGATGACTTTCCTCTCGTTGTGTCTTATTTTACTTTTTTGTTTTAACAAAATCAGAGGTAATACCAATTGTAATTGAGTTAAATAATAGAAAGAGGAACCATTTGTAATAGTTATTTAAAAAAAGTAATTAAAACATATAAACAACTAGTTTTTGAATTGTTAATAATAGTTTCCATTAAACCACTTATTTTTTGACACTTTTGGGAAATTATAGTTTATAGTATGTAGTATGTAGTATGAGTTATCTATACAAAATACAAGACATTTAAATTCCTCAATGTCTTATTGACAAAATGTCCACACACCTTCAAAAACAATAAAAAAGCATTGAACGTAATTTTAATGAAATTAATGTGGTGATTAACAACATAATATAACATTGGTTTAGATACAGTTTTGCTTAAACTTGTTTGAATGTGGCGAACGGACATCGTTTTTGTAACTCTTCTAAGAACTCCTCAACTTGATCACAAAACAAAAACTGGGAGTATGACACTTTCGAAAAGTTTATTACTATGTTCTTCCCGTCTACAACGACTTGTAAAACATTTTCATACAGAAACTCTTCTCTGAATATACCCGCATTGAGTCTGTAGAATTTTTTTGATGAAAGTCTGATTGTTCTGGGTTGGTCTAAAGGTGAGTTGAAAAAGCAAAATACTGAGAATTGAATAACAACAACAAACGCTTCCAAAACCAATTAGTCCTAACAACATCAAAATCTAAATCACCTTCTTCTTTTGTAACAGTCTGTGGGACAACAGGTTTTGCCATGAGAGGAGAAAATAGTCCTCCAGTGAGTACTCTGAGTAGCCACTCTGTCGCTGAGATCCAACTTGACTGCTTCAAATTAATGCCAGCCTTTATTCCCTTCATTTCTACCAATTTCTCCTCATCCGAATGGTTTTCGTATTCAGTGATTATCTCTCCCTCGGTGAATATATCAGCATGCTCTTCTTTGTGAATATAGTCATCAACAATTGTTGCCTTTTCAAGGTCAGACTTTGGCCGGATAAGACCTACCTTCTTTCCCGCATGGAGTTTGTTTGGATTGTTGAGTACTGATAGCATTAATGTACCATCTGCTAAGCCCATTTGTACTTGATCATACCCACCAAAAAATTCGCCCCAAAGGAAAAGATAGGGGAAGTCAACGCCACTTGTAATTTCTTTAAGTGATTTCTGAAACTCCTCGTCATCTGAAATGTTACATATTCTGATGGAACATCGTGGAACTCTGCACTTGACTAAAGAAGAAATAATTGTGTCGACCTTTTTTTGGTAGGATTGGTCTTGCTTGTTGATAAATATCGTATAGCGGTGAATGTGCATCTTGTAATGTGTTTTATTCAGTTTTCGTTTCGCTTTAATTCAGTAAAAATTCTATTTTAGTCTTAACGTTCTCATATTTATTACGGCATTTATACAGGACCAAAAACAAATTTTATAATATTAATTAAATAATATATTATATATAGGTTTTTATTTTTGAAACTGCTAAAAAGTGGAAGGTGCCTAACTAAAGTCTTGACGTAGACATGAGGTTGTTGACGTATTTTTAAGTTTTGAGGACCTTTGAGCAAACAACAGAAAGTTCAGAGAGAA